CCCCCTGCGCTACGCTTGTCGTTAAGAGACTACAGTACTTAAACGCCCTTTCGTGTTGGCCAAGGCGGGTCGCGTGCACTGCCAGAAGCTGCAGGACCTCCTTTTGGTTGGGCTGGTCCTGGTTGATCTTTTCCAACAGCTGCGCCGCCTCACTTTCGCGGTGGGAAAGCAAAAGCAAACGAGCGTAGTGCACACGCGCTGCCAAAAGCTTGGGAAAGGTGCGCAAGGCGGACTCCAACAGGGGCTGCGCCCCTGAAAGGTCGCCCGAGGCCAGCAGAAGTCGCCCCTCCTGAAAGTTCACTAAAGCGCACTCTTCAATGGAGCCATAGCGACGTACCTCGTTCAGTATAGACTTGATAGGCTGAATCGAGCTTTGGATACGCCTTTGACTAATCGCCTTGAAGTACATAAGGTCTGCCACCTTGAGCAACACCATCGCGTTGTGAGGAAGCACCTTGCTTAACCGCCTGACCGTCTCAATCACCTTAAATATCAACCGGCGATCAAGATACACCACAAGGAGGGCAAACAGCGCAAGCGCATTATTGGGATTTTTTTCAAGGGCATGCTCAAGAAAGGCCCTCGCCTCCGTCGGCCGGTTGAGATGATACGCACAAAGTCCCATACCCACGCGAACGACCGGCGGCGTCGCGGTGCTGCCCAAAACACTAAGCACCTCTCTATATTCACTGAAGCTGCTCTTATACTCCCCTAGTTGGTAGTACACGGCGGCTAGACCAAGATGAGCAAGTGTAAAGTCTTCGTCGCGTCTTTTTGCCTCCTCGAACTTCAGCCGAGCCGTTTGAAGGTTTAGATTAGCGAGTGCGGCAAGCCCCTCCAGGTAACACGTCAAGGCCGCGTGCTGCGGAGCCCTGGAAACCGATGTCATGACCTCCGTAACCTGTTGATGATTGCCTTGCATGGCAAAAATGGACGCTCGCATACAGCATACAGACAGCATATCATCAATTTCCATGCTTGTCGCCTTCTCCTGTATCACGGCATCGAGGATGGTATCCACACGTTCTATCTCACCCTGGTTGAAAACCTCAAGGGCTTCATACATTCCTTGCTGTGCTTCTGATCTCATTAAGCGTCTATTTAAAAGGTAGATTCCACTATTATGCCGTTGTTAGTATTGTTGTTAATGATAAATGAAGGAATTTTCTTAATTTTTTATTACCTACAGAGTAAACTCTGTATTCCTTTTTTTTGTGTTTCTTTTACTTTAAGGAATTTAAAAACAAACAAAGGAACCTTATCATGATACAGTTTCTCAAGCACCTCCTTACTTTTATCAGCCTAGTTTGATGATTCTAGCACTTTATATAAGTATTATAGAGGAAGATCAATGCTTAAAAAATGCATTGATGTTTAAATTCCAGGTTATTGAGTCATAGTTAAACCATCTCCCCCTACCATAGCCACAGTAAACACACGAAAGAAAGGAACAAATGGAAGAAGGAAATTCACACCTTCGCTCTCAAAAGTCATCTTTATCGGCATCATTTGCAGTGGAAGAAGCAACTATGGGCAACTCCAAGTCCTGCTTGCAGAGTGTCACCTGCCAGTCCGCCACCCTCACGATGACCTGGTCGACCCTTGTAGAAAACTCTACCACGGCATACAACAACCCTACGAGCTTGACCCTGGTCGAGAGTAGAAAATATGGCATCATTGCCTCCTCCGGTGGGAGATTCAATCGCGCGCGGAATGCTCCTGATTTCATAGGCGTGTTTTGTGCCACATCCACGAAGAGCTGTGGATCTGCTTGATACACAAAATTAGGGGGTAGCAGGCTCTCCAAAGTTGAGACCCCTTCTGCGTGGAAACGCAGCTTATCGTTGCTATACTTGGCGTACGCCTCAAAAATTTTGGATCCAACACTCACTACACGACCTCCAAGCTTGGCACTAAGCTCAATTGTTGGTACGTTCGCGTAGTATATTTTTTGCTCTCTGGCAACTTCATTGCGGCATAGAAGCTTATCATAAGGAAACGAATCAGGAAGACGAAACGCATTCTGAATAGATGTGCGCAAGGAGTCTGAAATGGGTCTAATGACCGCTGGCTCCTCGTCCGTAGTTGGAGGTATGCTTGTCTCCATCTCTTCAATGCACACCATCGCCACTACGAAAAAGCCACCTGTATCCTGTGTATGCGGCAAAATACGACGTGAGAAGTGGATGTTTTGCTCCCGAAGTTCCTCAGGGTTGGGGAACATACTTCTCTTATACTGAAACCCCTTTCGAGGCTGTGAGGCATCCATATACGCCTTAGCCTCCTCGAAATCATGGAAATTGGCATCCATCCCCTTACTGGTAAGGCTCCACGTTGAGAGTCCTGGGGATGACTTGAGCCCTGGCAACAGCGGCTCCGTGTCGATGAGGCAAAACCGTCCTTTTGCACGACGCAGACATTCGGAGACGACCGCCTCATCCTCAACCGGGTTCAAACTACAGGTGGAGTAGACCACAATGCCACCTTTTTTACACAGCTCCATCCCGCGCATCAGAATGCGTGTTTGAATGAAGTGCAAGTCCGCCCCTTTCACCGAATTCCATCGCGGCCACATGTCCACCGACTTCCGCAGCGTCCCATCGCCGGAGCAGACCACATCACACAACACACGGTCAAAGCGGTCCTCGGGGGAAAGAGAGGGGAAGCGGGCCGCGTCGTATTGTGTCACAATGAGGTGGGAATGGGCACCCGCCAGACGATTGGTCTGGTGCTGAAGCACGTCCAGCCGCGACGCGTTCACGTCGTTCGCGACCACCACACCCGTCTGAGACTGGGACAGTAGAATCTCAAGTATCTGGGAGGTCTTGCTGCCTGGTGAGGCGCATAGGTCCAGTACGCGATCCCCAGGCCTAACCTGAAGTGAAATGACGGGAATCATGCTAACGGCCTCCTGACGGGTTAGATACCCTCCTTCGTTGAGTGCCGCAATGAGTTTCTTAATCGATTTGTAGGTCACATTACGCTTTAAATCCCCACGGCTTACATCGCATTGCAATGCCATTTGGTGTGGAAAGAAAGAAAGTCGTCTCACTTGGAAAACACTGCTCAAAAGACTCTCTACTTGCGTAATAATAGCCTCTGAATTAGGTGTAATGAGGTTCACCCGAAGTGCCATGGGTAGACTAGTGCGCAAGCAGTTCATAAAGGAATCCCATTCAGACTCAGGCACGATGTGATTAACTTTGTAATACATCGCAAATGCCTCATTTTGGAGAAGTGCAGCATCACGTGCATCAGTAGCCCATTCATCTGGCCTCTCACGCTTGTTACCACCTCTTCTTGCTTGATTCCTACTTGTCATCTGCTTGTTTCTTTTTTTCTTAATTAGAGAATAAGCAGTTTTGAATTCCGCATAGAAATGCAAATTTAAGACACAATAAAAAAAATCAAAGCGCATAGGAAATTGAATCAAGGTTTCTCTTTTTTATTATTTCTCCACAAGTTTGTGGTCGGATTTAATTGGAGCGAATTTAGTGGATTCGACATGAGATAATATTCGTGACTAGATATAAATAATATACTTTTTATAAATACTCTGATAAAAATTAACAGCACTTGAGAAACAAGAATACCAATAAAGGAGTAAAATAGAACAACAAGAAAAATTTTCACAATACTCGATCAATAATAAAAATAATCAACTAATATTTTAAAATAATACACAAATAAACTGGATTTTTAATCAAGCCCTTTTAATCTTCAGATATCTTCTTATATATAATTCTTCTATCTATCTATGTGAATAGATGATGCTTATGTAAACATCTACTCCATTTCATACATGACATCATTATTATCGGCTGGCTTCTGCTTTGGTGGATCCTTTGGTGGTTGGGAAGTAGGTGCCTTTATTTGCTGCGCCTGGAGATTGTGAAGTGAGGTGGCTAAATTGTGTCCATCCTTGCTAAGCATGTAGGATACCGTAGGGGTTGTGGAAAACTCCCTCAAGGAAATACTTTTCTTCATCAAGTGATATTGGTTTTCAGGAATAGAAATTTTTTGGTTTTCTACTTAAACAATGGGGATAGTTTTCCAATATATGTATATACATATATATATATATATAAAAAGATGAAATTTTGAAATGCAGAATGAAATACAATTGATTGAATAAAAACATACATCCAGAGTGGTTAACGGATGGATAAGATACATATAAGTGCTGTCTTGAAAATTTAGATAGTTTTTCTCCTAATACGTATGTTGATGGAAGAACCTACATTGATGATTTAATGCAATAAAATGGTTCTATTATCCATACTTCAGTATTCACCGCACACCCTTCAGTCTCCAATGTGCCCCTTCACTCATCCACGTAGAGTACATGTCCATCTATTTCAACGCGTCTCTTCTTGTGAATCCCGTCGTTTTGGTCATCCTGTTCGTGATCCTCAAGAAACACCCCTATCTCAGAATTGTCTTCATGTGCCCTTGCATGGTCACTATTATCATCCTCAATCACACGGCACGTCCTTTTTTCAAGGTCCCACATCAATGCGTGGTTCGCAGTAAGAGGAACTATTTTCCCGTTCTTCTCCTGCGTATATGCGCGAATCGCGTTCAGTACCGTTCGATCCACCCTCAGATCAACGAGCGCAGTGAAGTAGGAGCACACTGGGCACGGCGCACCCCAGTCACCGGCATGATGGTTATTCATCGGTATTGCCATCCTTCGCTGCATCACCATACGCACAAAGCTTCCAAGATCAAACACCTCGAAGTGTGCACATTTAATACCCCTGGCTGGTAACTGGATGCAATCTTGGGAAATTAAATCGCGAAGATGAGTCACTACGAGTGTTGTCTTCAAAGCAACATCAACATCGAGTTGGCCCTCAGGTCCACCGCCCTGAAATAATTTGAATATAGGCTTCGCTTCGTCATAACGAAGCTCGCTCAAGTCCTTGACAACCTCTGTGATCATATCCATATCTGGGCGAGCCTTCAAAAGTAATGTGTTTAATTTCTTTATATTTTTTACATATTGTTCAGTCTCAATGTCATGTAACTCACCGTGCCCATATGAAAGAGAAGCTTCTAGAGACCAGAAAGTTCTATCTTGATGAGAAAAATAATCATTGTGCGATAATTCTATTCGTAATGCTTGGACTATAGCTGATGAGCTGCTAATATTCTTGAGTAATTCTTCAAGATGATGTACCCAGGTAAGAACCTGTGAAATATTCATCTGTAGAGTAGTATCTCCTCCTGTAAGACTAACTAAACCAACAGCATCTGCATTCATCATGGCGCCTTTAGTATGCATTAAAACACGGGCTCGTCTACTAAAGGCCGCTGCCAGCACACTACAAAAATTAATTCTATCTAAAATGGATAAATTTGAAGACAACACTGAAGATGTATCGGGTCTGGTATCCATTTCACGCATTTTTGAATCCTGTAAGTTGAAAAATTGAAGTAACTCATTGTAGACATCTGCAAGATTGACGAAAGTTTTCAATCTTCGAATGCGGGACAAGATCCTATGAACCTCTGTACAAAGCGCAGAGTCCGGATTATCATGAGTAAACATAAACTAATGTGAAAAAAAGATTTTCCTTTAACCTTACTTGGTCTGGACTGTGAAATTACTTATAGTTACAATTATGTACGCTCATACCCTTAGAAATTCAGATTCGTGTTTATTCAGGATGATTAGAAACATGTAATATTCGAACCCATTGGATATCATCGTATAGTAAAGACGAACAGCAGTGACCATGCCGACATTAGAAAACAAAATATTTTTTTCCCTATTCCCTAGTGGATTACCTAAACATAGATAACGCCTCTGCACTTAAATGAGAAAGTAAACAACGCTATTTTTATCTTGAGAGTGTGTTTATTTTCTTCTTGATTGATATCTTTAGGTTTTTCAGATGAGCCTCTCACATTTACATGTAAATAAAATGAAAGTTCTATTTTGTGATAGGCTCGCAGTTCATAATTTTTTCCGAAATTAATTACAAACAGATATTTTCAATTATATATTTTTTGGTTGTGTTTTTTGTCATTTGACCCCTGATTATTTACTACATTCATTGTTAAAAAGTAGAGCTTACGTATATAGCTCATTTTTCCTGGCGAAGATGATAAAGTTAAACAAGAAACTTATTTCAAAACAAAATAAATGTCCCTGACACCAAAGTTTACCCGCACCACCACCCACTATTGGTTTCCAGTACAGATTATTCTGATGAAAGGCAAAAAAGGCTCATAGACACAAGATACTTTGGGATGTTAATAAGGAGAAATCAGCAAAATATATAGTGACAGCTATATCCAATATGTTCCACGTCCTTGAAAAGAACTCCGAGCTAACATAATTTATTTCTACTTTGAAAAGGAGTATACGTACACGCACCTGTAATGATGCGCCTATCGGAGTGTTTATAAAAAGTATAGAAAACGCATTTCTGGCCCGACTTCAGCCGTCTGTAGTGGTTATCTTTGTGCTCAGCTTTTACTGACTATTATTTCGAAGTGAATGGGTGTGTTCATCCCCCTTGGTAAAACTGCGGTGAAAAAAAACATCCAAAGAAGCTCTTACAATTTCGCATTGATATTTGAAAGGATGCGTTCTCGGTTCAGTGTAAGAGCCTCCAGCTCGCGCCGCAAATCTTGTTCCTTATTGAGCTTCGCGTCGTCATCAAGGTTAACAGTGATCGCACAGACTTGTCGCCAAAGCAGACTGTGGATGTCAATTACACGTCGGACCGATGTGGCTGCCTTGATAGGGACAAGGATGTAATTGTTATACCACATGGAGATGATACAACCGGTGGAACCGGCCATGGCCTCGTGTACCGCCAGTGTTGATAAGTTGGTGCAGAACAGTGCGTCGTTAGACGATGGTGGGCACGCACGAACCATGTAAGAGGGGTCGATATACTTCACGCCTGACTGGGGGTAGCGGTCCCCATTCACCTTAAGCCACTTCCCGACCGCCTTCGTCAGGATGGTACCAATGTCAATAAGCTTCTTGTTGCCAGAGGCATCGTGGCCACCGGTCCCCTGTACCCAGTCCTGTCCAAAGCCCTCTGCCACAATGATGACACAGTTTCGAGAAGTCAGAAAGCGGTGCTCTATCAACTTCAGCACCGTATCCAGGGACATCGGTGACTCGGGCACAAGGCAAAGGTTCGCTTGAGCACTCGCCAAAGCCGTCTCTGCGGCAATAAACCCGCTCTCACGTCCCATAAGCTTCACGATACCAACACCGTAGTTAAGTGAGACTGCCTCTGCATAAGCTGCGCGGACCGCCACACACGCCTGCTCCACTGCCGTTTGGAAACCAAAAGTACGATGAGAAAAGGAGAGGTCGTTATCAATAGTCTTGGGTATGCCGAAGACAGCAATATCGTGTCCGCTGCGCTTCGCCTCCTCGTAGATCTTTAGTGATCCACGTTGAGTCCCATCGCCACCAACTGTAAAGAGGATGTTTACGCCCAAACGCGCAAGCGTCTCAACCATCTCTTTGGTGTCCTGTGGACCACGTGAGCTTCCCAAAATCGTGCCGCCAAAGCGGTGGATCTGTGTCACGGAAGTACGTGAGAGCTCAATAGCAGTCTTGCTGCCTTCCTTCGACATACCCCAATAACCAAATCGAAAACCAATCACGCGCTTGACGCCGTACTGCATAATACCAGTCAGTGTGATGGAACGAATCACATCGTTTAGCCCAGGGCAGATACCACCGCATGTGACAATGCCAATCGTGGTCTCGGATGGATTGAAGTGCAGATTCTTCCGGGCAGCGGCCAGTTGGCATAGCAGCTTACTGCCCGAGATGGGGTACTCGCCGCACTGGTCTTCATTGGGGCGCGGGTCATACATAATGTGTCCGATTTTATCGCTGAGACGAGAATTGACCCTGTTATTCCTGCTGGGGTTGGGGTACTTGCTTCCTGGGAGACGCTCAACAGTAAGGTCCTTCTGTGTGACTGACTTCAACGGGGCCTCATGTGCGCGAACAAGCTTGCTGTTAGCACGCTGACGTTCCTGATTCATTTTTATGTATTTTTGGTACAAAGTTTATCGCAAATTCCTGAAACAGTAATTTTTTTGGCTAGTAAAAAAGAAGAAGTGTATTTAAGAAAGCTAGTTAAGTTATAGATTTTAAAAAAAATGAGAGAAGCAGAAAACAATTAGACTTTAGAAGCGAGTAAGACATACGTATTTGGTAAAAATGACTCTATGGGAATTTTTCAGTTTTCTTTTTCTTGGATAATAGTGAATCTATTCCCTATAGGATAACTATGCGTTTTTTTCCCTTTCCTAGATATGAATATCAAAGACTTCACACAATAATAAATTGTATAAAAGACATTAATAAAATTATAAGAACACTTTGGTTATGTACCCTACACAAAAAAAACCTTCTTGGCTACCTCATGCCACTCCATGAGTCATATAAGAATAGATATATGAGTCATTTCTATATATACAGCTATGTATATGTATTTTCCTTGAATGTTGAATACAACAGCGTTTGATGATTACTTTCCTTCTTTGGCGAATCTATCGCTTTAAGGAACTGTATTGAGTGTCGTCAGATTTAAGGTAGAATTTTATTATTTTTGGTCCTTTTTCAGCCCTCTTGACCGAATTCAGCTGTGAATTTAGTGTGTTGCTCTATATCCGTCTCTGAGACACTCGGCCTGGTAGTGCGTAATGCCTTCAGGAAATCCATCTTTGTCACAGGAAGTGGTACTAGCAGCTCCGGGTCTGAGATCTGATCTATAACCATTGGAAACGCCTTTGGATCGCCTGGGGAACATGGTGCAAGTAGATTTTTTACCATCTGTGTCGAGTCCTTTGGACTTGGTCCCGAAACACGCTTGAAATGTGTTGCCACTTGTATTGTTCGGATGCACTCAAAAAGAGCATCCCGAACGACTTGTTCAATATCACTCCCTGAGTACATTTCTGTACGCTGGGCCAGATCTAGCCAATCCTTTTCAGTCAAAGTATGGGGTGTGTTACCCATGTGAATCTGAAACATACGTCGCCTTGCTTGCATATCTGGCAGCGGAATATAGATACGTCGTTCAAAGCGTCGCCGAATAGCCACATCGAGGGACCACGGAATGTTGGTTGCTGCAAGTACCAAGATACCCTGACTGTCATTACCCACACCCTGCATTTGGACCAAAAACTCCGTCTTGACACGACGAGAAGCATCATTTTCGTTATCCGAACGGGATGACACGAGTGCGTCGATCTCATCTACAAAAATAATAGCTGGCTTCCCTTCCTTACGATACTCCTCTCGGGCCATCTCAAACAATGTCCGAACCAGCTTTTCAGAGTCACCCATCCAACGCGACAGTAAGTTAGAGCTTGAAACACTCAAAAAAGTTCCTTCTGACTCGGTCGCTACCGCCTTTGCCAAGTATGACTTACCTGTCCCAGGTGGACCGTACAGAAGAATTCCACGCCATGGCTTGCGGTTTCCTGTGAATAGCTGTGGGAAACGAACGGGTAAAATGACAGACTCCTTTAGAGCCTCCTTAGCAGCGTCTAAACCTGCCACATCACACCATTTAACATCCGGCTTTGTTCGTAAAATTGCATTATCTAGACCATTGCGCATCCGCTTGCCGTCTTCATCGTCTTCCTTAGACTTTTTCTCAGATGTGCCTGCTTTCTGTAAGACACCAGATGTTTTTCCGCCACTGCCATTCTCCTTAGAATTGTCTAAATATTCTTTGATCTGTTCCGCACGCTTTATTATTTCACTTACCTTTTTTCTAAGCAATTCACGCTTTGTTGGATTCTTGCCCTCATATTTCATTGCGGTCATGAACACATCGATGCACTCCATGTACCAGCGATAGGCCTCTTGATATTCCCCTCCATTATCGTGCCCTGTTGCGCGATTAAAAAGCTCAACTGCCTTTGAAGTAAAATCAACTGACATCGAAACTATAGTATACTATTCGTGGTTAAAGAAAAAGTAAAGTACACCTACTTGAAGTGATGCCAAGTCATTATTTAAAAAAAAATGGAAAATAAAAAAGTTCTAATGAAGTTAAATAAAGAGCATACAAATTTTAAGCATAGGAACTTCGTTTTTTTTTCAAAATCCAATATCAATAATAAATAGAAACTCTTGGAAAAAAAAAAAGTAAATTAAAAAAAGCAGAGCAACCAATCCCCAAATGCTTGGGCGATGTTTCAAATAAGACAGCTAAAAATCAAGATAGAAATTGTACGTGGAATGTCTGATCAAAAAGGACAAAACAAAACCGCTCTTTTCCACTTTCTACCTTACTCTTTTGACGCCAGAGTAAATATTATGTAAGCATTCTTTGCTAAGATAAGGGACATAAAAGTTCTCCCTGCATAAGCCTTTGCTCCATTATTTCAGCCAAAGTGTTGCACACTTGTGTAGAAGTCGGTCGGTGGGCTGGGTCATGATTTAACATGTCCACCAGTAGCTGAATAAACAATTCAGAATACTCGTGGTTTTTTACTTGTCTTAGTTCCCGCCGAATGACCATCCCCAGCGCTTGAGGTGTCCATTCCGGAGCTGATAATACCATGTAATCACCATTTTCTGATCGAACACACGGAAACTCAGGAAGTGTAGCGAGTACAAACATCATAACACCCAGGCTAAATACATCAGACTTTGTAGAACCCACCATATCCACCAACTCAGGAGCCTGGTATTCATATGTGGATGAAGGAACTTTTCGATTTGACATACTACACACTAAATCAGCGGCACCACACAAATCCAAATCCATCAACAATACCTGCTCCTCATTGTCTAGTAGGAGCACATTTTCTGGTTTAATATCACGGTGAACAAGTGGTGGGTTCTGTGTGTGTAGATATTTTAAAGCCAAGCCAATTTGCAGTGCAATGGAACATAGAACACACTCCTTTACTGGGGCACGCTGCCGCGTGATGTATTCCCTAAGATCCCCTTTGTCGTAGTACGGCATAATCACACAAATAGAAAGTGGATCCTCCCGCAGTATTACATCGAGGTAAGAAATAAGGTGAGGATGACGCAACGTCTTGATTCGCAGTGCTTGACTTACCCTCGATTCCATCACTAACCGATCGGCTTCATCAAAAACCATCTCTTTTGACACGACTGTTTTATTATATACGGTACAACATTTATACACAACACCTTGTGCACCTTCGCCTAGTTTTTGCTTATTGTACAGATGAGTGTACTCGGAACTCGTGTTTCCCTCAAAGGCAGATTTCAGTAAAATACTAGAAGCGGGATGAGTATTTGTCTCCTGAAATGGGATCATCATAGTTTTTTGAGCCTTTTGTAAGCGCTTCAAAAAGTGTTCGTTTAACTGGTACGATGTTTTGCTGTTAGGTAACTTCCAGCAAACAGGTGTATCGCAACACTGAGAACATTTTAAACTGCCGTTTTCGAAGGAAAACGAAAGGCATCCCGTGCAAAGCGGCATAGCACACATAGAACAAAAAAAAGCTAATTCAAATAAAGGTATTAAAAATCCGCATCGGCCGCATGGATGAGTCAACTTTGGTGTAGGACATTTATTACAAAGCACAGCCCGGTATCGGTTGTAAAAAATGATTTGTGTACATCTGGAACATACTACTCGGCTACAACAAACACAAAAATGAATAGTGTCATCCTGGATACCTTCTTGACAGATATAACATTCTTGATCAGATGCTATCATTGTAATTCAGCTTGTCTCCCTCCCCTCCACCTGCTAATCTACTCGAGTATTGTGCCTTCAGAAGAAATTTATTTATAATTATTGGTCTTAACTTTTAATCATCGCATGTACGGTTAAACTTTTGGATACGTATTCGTCTGTGCCAAGAGGGCGCAGCAAGGTAATATTAACTTTGAAGATCTTTTTATCGAAAAAATTCAGCTATAGTGTGAAAATTGATATTTGAATGTTCTGATAAAGTATGACAAAAATAAAATTGGCAAGAGCATCAGATTCAAATACATGAAGAAACATAGTTATCATATCAGTTATATAACTTTTTGAGCACACAAGTGGCAGAAAATAAAATAATAATGATGTTTAAATACCTTTTTCAGAAAAGAAGTTAGTTGATGAAAGAAAAGGGTAGAAAAATGATTACTAACAAATGTAGAATAGACGTGCATAGGTATCCTAATAGTATACAATAATACCTAGCTAATTAAATATACATAATTTACACAATGGTAACGGAGAAGTAGGATGCTGGAAAACCAATAGTAAATAGATAAAGAGTATGAGTATAACTTTTTATTTAAACACACTGTAGTATCTCTTTAAAGGTATCATCGACCAGCAAATCAATGTGACCAGGATCTTGGAAATCAGTCAGACAGTTGGGACCTTTCGTAATTGAACAGTCTGTTGACATATTTCCCTTATGTTGATGAAGAAGTATCACTAGGGTAGAATGGCGTATAATAATAACGACTCTATAACCCCCTAGCTTTTAGATACAACTGTCTAGCACTGTCATCGCCATTATTGATATTTTCATCATAAGCATCTATGTTTTTCGTAGTCTCACTTAGCCTCGATTCATGAAGACCATGAAGTCTATGTATGGGTTATGATGAAATCTAAAAAAAAGTCTTTTGTGGCTTGTGTAGACGGTAAATGTGTTCAAAAACAATTCTTCAGTGGCCATGGGAGCTGATGACTTCATCTATGGATCTAGTGCACCCTAGAGTACTAAAACTCCGCACTTCTCGCTGAAGTGAAGCATTTACCCCATTTCTATAATGGTTTTTAGGAAGTTGAGATAAAGACAGACCGCAACGTCCAACGAAGAAAGGTGCCGATTCGCTAGATCGCTGATATTCAGGGTATAAGTATGCTTTTATGAGTTTAACCTTGTAGTGTATTAATGTCAATCAAAGAGTGGTGTCTGGCAAGTCAATTGAATACGTCATGGACTGTTTCTGTCAAGATAACTTATCTTCAGCCGGTTGTGGATCGAGCCCAGGAAGTTTATTCAAAGTGGAAACCTTTTCAGCAGAAGTAGGGCATGGTATCGGGGACTTCTGCCGTCTCGGTTTGCTAAGTCGTTCACTAAATGGTTCAATGCATTCTAAAACCTGGGTCTGATATTTATTAATCTTGGGCCGAAAGGTTAGGTTTCGCCATTTTTTCGCAACCTCCTCAAGTTCTCTTCGCTCTGCTTCACGTAAATCCAGAAGGATACGACGCTGATAAGGTGGTAGAGCAGAAAACTCGTCGAGTTCGTCATGCTCTGCTTTTGCTACCTCTACTTGGTGTTCTTTATTTCTGAGCGGCGTAGATCCCATTGAGGAATTCAAATAATGTGCCTTCGCAGCGAGTCCCATCTGTTTTGTAGTTTGCTTCACCGAAGTTCCTAGGGCTTTAGTGGCAGATACAACCTGATACCCCTTACTGCTGCCCTTAGTGCTGGAAGGAGAACCTGTGTAAAAAAAGAGTCCCTTTGATAATAATTTCGAATGCATCTTGGGACATCTGGCCGCTTTGTTTGGGGTTAAGTCAAAAAGGGCTACTCCCTTAGACTTGGAACCTCTATCACGATATATCGCAGCAGCCTCACGGACAGATCCGTGGTGCGCGGCGGAAAACGATGTCTTATCCGCGCTCTGAAAACCCATCCCTCTAGTATTGCCTGAACTCCCAGAGTTATTCTCACTCCCACCTGGAGAAAGGAACAAAGGCCGTGAGAAATCTTTTCTAGAAACAGTGTCGTCCAGTTGAATCGTGTCAGGCTTTTCTACTTTCTCAACTGAAGCTCCCTTTTCGTTGTTTATAGAATGATTCATATTGTGATACGCGTCATGCGCGTGAACGCCTGTATCACCATGATTGTTCGCCTCAGTAATTGGGACTGTATCATTGTATGACGTCGGCTGTTGATGTTCGATTTTAGATATTGTAGAAGTCGAGAGCTTTGACGACATATTAGAGGCATCGTTATTAAGTTGATTAGTAAGGTGGAGCTTATCACTAACGAACAAATGCGTTGAGGATAATTGTCGCTGCGACACAGAAGGCACGTTCTCATCTTGAATTGGAGCTGAGGGTCTATTTGGATTCTCTTCAGACACGGAAATTTGATGAATTGATTGGTCTTCCAGAATCACAGCTGGAGAGTGATATGGTGAAGCATTGTCTAAAACACTAGCTAAAACACCTTCGGTATTTTGAGGTAAATCAGAATATGGATCAAACACACATGCCTCCACATTGTCGCCTAATGAAGTAGAGACATGAGATCTATGATTATCCTCCATTTCTGCGTGTCTGGGTCTCCTGCAGAATGAAAAAATGCCACAACCGCTGGAAGCTTTGTGTTTACTCCTCATTACTGACGGCGGTGGTGTATACGATAGTTGTCCAGACGATGAAAAAGTGATTTGAGGTTCCCCTCTATCACCGCTACCTGCGCCTGCTGTGTGCACTGGATCTTCATTCATTGTAGAAGCAATGAGCAAAGATGTTTCTGCTCCCATATGATCCGGTATATGTCTGTGGTCATATACTTTAGGTGAAGATGGTATTTTTGACATAGGAGAAGTTGCCTGGGGTAAAGTCTGACCCGTACTGAAAACTGGAGTAATAGAATTCGCCTCACATGTAGGCACTTCACAGCTCTCCATTAATGAATTCCGCTTGGATAGTTCATGATACGGCTGCTTCAACTCCATTGTTGACTCTACTGTATCAGTATTGAGCTGAGAGGCAAGACGCAAGTGCTCAGATGTGTTGTTGTTTATTACATTACTATGCTCCTGAAAAGAATTTGCAAGTTCTGATTTGTTGTTTCCTTTGCAATTCAGTTTGTGAGAAATTGAGCTCGCATCTTCCACGAGAGATGGTGAACTCATTATATTATCAGATTTAGGCAATAATTTGCTGTTACTTGAAGAAGTGTTTCTTCTTTGAGAAATTGCAGGTCCCACCGGTGTGGCACTTCTATTAAGCAGTGTATTGGATATGAATTGATGATCCCCATGCAAAGGAGATTTAGTAGTTCTGGGAACACTTTTCTTGGGCGAAGAACCCTTAATGTTCTCTGGATGACTTTTCAATCTGTATGCTGAGTCCAACTCATGAGAAAATGCAGGGTCCTCATGCACAGATGGGTTGCCTATAGAGGGCTCTGCAGTAGGTACAATCACAGGCACTACAGATATGCTCGCAGGTGTAGCTGCATGAGAGGCAGAGCCAGTAGTAACTTCCTTACGAGTTGGAGAGGAACGAATAGGCTCCTCAGAGCTGTCGGAATCACTATCCTTGATCAACAAATAATCAAATTTTTTCATTTGTGATTTTCTATGATAAAATTAGACACATGTAATGTGTCGTTAAGGGGGTTAAGAAAGTTGTCCTTCAAAACAATCTAAAATTGTTGAAGAATAAACTAGTACCCTAAAAAAAAAATCGAAAAAAAAGCGCCAAGGTTATTGTATTCCATTATACCCTCTCTCCTTGATGTAGTTACAAAAGAGGCGAAAACAACAGAATGGGTAATAAATTTAGAAAAAAAGAGGTAAATATTTTAAAATTATAAAATCAGAACCAATGAGTAGAATGTTGGAACGGTAGGAAGAGAGGGAAAGAACAAATGGTCTTAGTTCTTAGACTCCTTGGCGGCAGCCTTGCGATCAGCGCGTACCTTGCGTTCACCGAAGAAGCGTACAGCAGAGTGATTCTTCTTGAGAAATTTGAATACGTTCTTTGTTTGCTCCTCAGAGGTGACCTTGCGAGGCTTCTCAGCGGTGGGGTACTGAACTGAACCCACAGCGGCGTCCCCAAAGCGTGATCGGTCCTGCGTAGCGGCCTTGATGTCCTCCTCAGACGCATCCCCCTTCTGCGGCTTCTTGTGGTTCAACGGGAACAAGACCAGCTTGCTCAAGTACGTCTTCAGGCGCTGGACGTTGATGTTCATGCCCTCCTCGGACTTGTTCTTACGCCGCGCGTCCACGCAAATGCCGATAGTCGCGGCATAGCGGGGGCTGAGCCCAGCCGCACGTAGTTCTGTGGGGGTGAACCCACGGCCCAGACGCTTCTTCATGTTGTGCCGCGCCGTAGGGCAGTTCACCTGTGGGCGGAGAGAACGCAGAGGACGAGGGAAGACCTTCTTAGCCTTCAGCAGACGCTGACGGCGACGGCGAAGCTTCTGAGCCGGCTGGTTAAAGAAGACCTTCACATTGCCCTTTTGAGAGGAGCACGGGTTCCAGTGCTTCCTCTGGTGGACGTGGGGTATCGCGTTGTTTCCCTTCGGCATCTTGCTAACCTATTCAATTCACACATGTTGGATGATTTTAAAATGAAAAAAAAGGCATTAATTGGAAAAGTAACATGAAATCGAAGAAATGAAGAAGCTTCGATCAAAATTGAATAATGACACAATGACAATTGATAAAATATCCGCATATAAGATAGAATTAAAAAGAAAGTAAAGTTTATAAATGAAAAGCTTATATGTAAATAAAATAACAAAAAACGCCGATTATACCATGTGCATTAGCAGGTGTATCTGACAAAACAATGGGAAGTACTAATAAAATCAACTCGTGCGCTTCTGGTTTCAAATTAAAGAGTAATAATGTATTTCCATTTTCAAAGTGTGCATATTTTTCAAAAATCCATATTGCATTTTTTGTCAGTTTTAACAATTCAATTGACGTTACTTTATTCGATCTTGATCGAGGCTGAAGGGTTTACGTCTTTGCTTGCCTCTTTCGGGACAACCACTCTTAAAATTTGATTCCTAAAGGAAGCCTTTACCGATGAATCGTCAATAGAAGTGGGAAGCTCGAAGCAACGCTCAAACCTTCCATAACCTCGCTCGGCAACAATAAGGAGATCTTTTAGATCTTCATCCTGTTTGCTTCGATACCGGTTACCAGAGATACAAACAATATTACTTCTTTCTGTGTACACCTTCAAGTCCTCTTTCTTGACTTCAGGAAGGTCCATGATCATTGTGAAATTACTATCTTGATCAATGATGTCGATAGGCGGAATCCAGGAGCCTCGTGATCGAGAAGAAAATATTGAAGTAAACATGATTCAATATCACTTCAGCTAAAGGTGATGAGTTCAATTTCAATAAAAAAAGGAAGAGGATAAAAAAAACTTAATATGAAAAAGGAAGCAACACAATATGCTGAAGATAATTTAATTTAACAAATAATGAAATTTTTTTAGTAGATTGATATATTGAGTAAAAAACAATATTAAAGTATGTGACCATAAAATCCCTTCCAATTATACCTTTTTGGTGGTATATTTCCTTGGCTTAAAATAACTGATTTTTCAAACGTAAGGGAAACAATAGTGTGAGAAATGCAAATTAATTTTGGATTAAATCTAATGCATTGTCTTTATATATGTTTGTATTAAAAATGAATGCTCAAAGTTAAGTGACACAAATAAGTGTTAAATATTAAGTGATATTCCAAACATGACACATTCGTTTTTATCATTAAGCAAAATCACTCTTTTTATGAAATATAAAAGGTCGAATTGTCTTGGAATGGGAGAATAATACACACAAAATAAAGGGAAATCATACAACTTTGAACCACTAGGAATAAATATATAATGAAACTTTGGGATGGAATTCCCAATACACAAAGCTTCCAATTGATACTAAATAAAAAATATATACCTATTTCATAAATTCACTTTTTTTTAAGTTTATCTAATGAAATCTCAAAGAAGCAAACCCGTTACATTGATATGAAATTTATCGATGTCCTTTTTTCACCTTTACGGTCGTTAATAAGGGGGAGAAGGGGGAAATATTGAAAGTAGTACAAGAGTGCCCCTTGGATTTAAAATTAAGGTGACACAGAAAAGTAACTATGTTAGTGTCAATAAACTGCTAAGAATCATACATTGAATGAAGCAAAAATACAGGTATAGCTAATGATAAATACAGGTTTATCACAGACAAAGTAAAAAGGTGTGCGAAGAGGAAAATAACTCAAGTTTGTGTATTTTCCTTTCTAGATTTTAGAAGACGCATATTTTCATTACAGAACCCAATCATAAACGAAAGAGATGGTAGCAATTCAGAAATAGTCTCCACCAATGGTCGTACTATAAACATGATGAATGCAATTTGGCCCTTCACAAACTCTCCTTTCTCCTTTGTGCGATCCATGAAAGGTGTGATCAGTAAATTAA